GGGCGGTATATAAATCCAATAAAAACAAAAAAACAAAAACAAAACAAAACAAGCCCTGTCATTTTTTTTTTAATGGTCTCCCATTCTAGTACAAACCAAGTCCAATCTTGCTTAGCTTTTCAAGATCAGGTTGGCTAAATGCAATCACATAGCTAGTTATTAAAGAGTGCAGTGGCTACTTATTTATTTCTTTATTTCCATTCATTTCTTCTTACTCTATACTATACGGGCTGGATGCGTCATGTGCAGGTCCCCAGCTCCATGAATGGGAAAAACGTCACATGATGGCAACGTGATGCTGCGAGTTTGACACCCGTCCTGTATAAAGTTCCAGATTATCTAACCAGAGTAACTTGTGAGGGCCATGGAATGCAATGTTTCAAATAATTGTTTTTTCATCGGCCTTTGTTTCCCCCAGATAAGAAGATTAAGAGCTGCCATGAACTGTATTTTTCGGACTATAAGACGCACCGGAGTATAAGATGCACCTTAGGTTTTGGGGAAGAAAATAAGAAAAAAACTGATTGGGGGTGGATCGGCCTCCCAGAATACCCCCAATCAGCTGTTCCCAGAGGTGAACTTTAGCAACAGGTTTGTTGGCTGTGAGCTCTGTGCCTTGCTTTTTTTCCCCAGCCTCTGAAACCTCTGTTTCAGAGGCTTTTTTTTCAGCCTCTCAAACGGAGGTTTCAGAGGCTTTTTTCAGCCTCTGAAACCTTAATTTCAGAGGCTTTTTTTTCAGCCTCTCACAGGGAGATTTCAGAGGCTTTGTTCAGCCTCTGAAACCTCAACTTCAGAGGCTTTTTTTCAGCCTCTGAAACCTCCGTTTCAGAGGCTGGACTGGGCTACATTCGGACTCACCGAATATAAGACGCATCCAGATTTTCACCCTCTTTTTTGGGGTAAAAAGGTGTGTCTTATACTCCAAAAAATATGGTAATTTTCTTTTCCTGCTTATGTTGTTTTAATTGTTTAATTATTTCACATGCCACCCAGAATCAAAAAACCTGGAGCGGCATATGCATATTATAAATAAACAAATACACCACGGATAGCACTAGACCCCTTCCCAATTTTTGCCATTTAAACAACACATGTAATGAGGACTATACATCAGCAATAGGTTGGACATATGATCATCCCCACAATTAAATTGCAACTGATTCACCTGAGATTGTTAGATTTGAATGGTTGAAAGAATGTGGAGCAGCAGTGCAAAGAAAGACTATGGAGCACTATAATCATCTGATATTAAACCAGAGAGGCCAGATGGACCTGTAAGTATCTTGTTTTACATTTCAAAAATCCAGAAAGGAGCTGCAGCTGGATCAGTTCTTTCCCTTTCAAAGTATTTTCATTAGCCTGGGGTGAGTATAAATGTAACAAAGAAAGCAAAAGCAATTTTCTCTATATATTTATTCAGGTGTATAAGCCCCATTATATTAACTATGTGTTAACTGCCATATTAGGCTCTAATTATATGCACATAGTTACACATATTCTGTATTGCACTTTATTTAATATTTTGTATTTCTGAGAAATCAAGGCTGGGATACACTCGAAAACTGAATAGGGTATAAGTGGACAGGGCAGAGGGGGGAAAGGGCCCGCTCTAGCAATTTAATAAATTAATGTATGAATAAATAAAAATAGATGCTTCGAGAAGGTGCAGAAAAGTAGCATGAAAGACTTAAATGATTCAACCATACTCTTATCTGATACCATTACCCTTCAAATTACAGCTAAATAAACACAACTAATCCACCTTGTCATCAAATGAGAAAAAGAAAGAAAAAGAAAAGCCAGGAACTTTACAAATGCAAACAACTTCAAAGTGTTATTAATGCATTTTATGTGAAGCATAACATTTCTCATTTAACTTTTTTCTAATCATGTTACAGTCAGCTGGTACAAATAGTTTATCACAATATTTGGAGGTGGTGGTGTTGACAAATTAAGGTGATAAAAAGAGAAGTAATTCTGCAGGCAGAAAAACAGCCAAAGAGATGTCCCCAAATCAGAAGGCTGGATCTCAAGTGTATATCTCTGATCTTCTCCAGCTCCCTCCCATCTGGAGTTGTTAGGAAGGTTATTTTCAGCTATACGGATTTTCAGAGAATCCCCAAAGCTCCAAATTAACTATTTTCCCAACTACGCCTCATTGCAACTCCACACCTGATTAATCAGAAGAAAACAGAGGCTTCTTACTGTATTTGGTACCCAAGGAATGGTCCTCCTTTCAACTTGGCTAGTAGGAAGGATTGTCCTGCTATTGCAGGGTTATTTACTTGTTTTGTGCTTGATCACTTTACATCAACCCTGACTTTACTGAAGCCTTATGCTGCCCCTCTCCCCAAGCCTAGAGGATTCATGAAGTTGGAGTGAAGGGGAAGAAAAGCAGGTAAAAATTAATGGCACCAGCTACTATACAGGATAGGAAATTCAGAGTTGGGGAGTCCATGGTTTCAACTATGAGTGTAGGTACCATAGAACAGATGTATGATAGTGTTAAATATCTGGGACAGACAGAACATCTGTCAGCTGGGAATTTGGTCCATTTCCCAATTCTGAATTCCTTAAGTAAGGATGAACTTAAATCTCTGCAAGAATTTGTAGGAATTGTTTCTGATTTAGAATTATGGAATCATAGGGTGGGAAGCAGTGGTGAAATCTACAATTTGTTACTACCGGTTCTGTGGGTGTGGCTTGGTGGGGGGGGTAATGTGACTGGGTGGGCGTGGCCAATTTTTAAAAAATATACTTTTAAAACCATTTTTTCTACAACCTCTTCGGCGAATAGATTGTAAAAAAATGCTTTCAAAAGGCTCTGATGATCCAAGCTGAGTTGCCTGATCGGCAGAGGTTTTTTAAAAAGCCTCTGCCGATCAGGCAACTCAGTTTGGATCGCCAGAGGCATTTAAAAGAAAAAAAGTGTTTTTCTCTTTTAAAAGCCTTTGACGATCCCAGCTCAGCCACACAACCATCAGAGGCTTTTTTTTTTTTTTACTTTTAAAAGCATTTTTTGGCCAAAGAGGTTGTAGAAAAAATGCTTTTAAAAGTAAAAAAAAAGCCTCTGATGATTGTGCGGCTCAGCTGGGCATGGGGGGGGGCAGGGATTTTTGCTACTGGTTCTCCGAACCACCCGCCTCCATCGCTACTGGATCGGGCGATCCGGTCCGAACCGGGAGCATTTCATCCCTGGTGGGAAGGGACCGCAGCCCATGGCAGAATTTACAGAAAGAGTTTGATTTTAAAGCACTTAAATCACACTTTCAGTTTTTTGCAACAGTATGTGCTATGGAAATTGACAATGCTGGACAGGAATTACAAAGTTTCAATATGACACAATTTTGAAGTTTAGCTTGTCTGGGTGTTAGAACTCCAGAATTCCATGTTTTTTTTCCTCAAGTTACTCATTGCTTCTATAAAGATGCCAGCAAGTAAATTATTTTTATTTAATAAGTTTATACTTAATGGTATACTGCAATAGTGATTACAGGTAGTTTTCTGTTAACAAGTTATTGGGACTACCAATTCTATTGCTAAGTGACACAGTAATAAAACATGACATCAGGTGGCCGCTTGTGGTGGTTAGGTCCAACATCGCACAATTGCCATTTGCAATCTCCTGCTGGTTTCCTCATTGACTTGCTTGTCAGAAGCGAACAGTGAAGGTCACAAATGATCATGTGACTGTGGGACACTGTGACCACTATAATTGTGAGCTGGTTGTTAAGTGCTTGAATTGTGATCACATTACCACAGGAATGTTACAATAGCTGCAATTTCAAGGACCAGCCATGAGTCTCCTCATTCAGTGCCATCATAACTTCAAATGCTCATTGAATGAATGGTCGTTAAATGAAGATTACCTGTATTATTATTTTTTTGGGATCTCACCTGCAGACTTTTTCATCATGACAAGAAAAGCTAATAAGCGAGTTCTCATTTGCACGTATGACGATTTACGGAGACTCATTTTAATAAATCAGAAAGAATCTGGTAACAGCGAACTTTTTCAGATACTCTGTGAACTGCAACGCATGAAAGCTTCTGCCTTTTAACCAAATGTGTTAATTGGAAAAAGTCATACTAAACTTCAGATTTTTTTGCCACTGTAGACTGAAATGGTTCACCTCCTACCATGTCTGTTTTAATAGGTTTCCTTTTTCTCCAAATGTAACATGAAAGGCATTTAAACATTCCCTCGGTTTCAGTAGATAGGATTCCTCCCCCATCTTTCAATTTAGAAGTTATAACCGATCGTCTTTCTAAAAAGACAAAATAATTTTATGAGTTATATGCTTACTTTGGGAATAACAGCCCCTAGACCGACCTTAAGGATTAAAACAAAACAAAACAAACAAACTAAAAAAACAGTAGGATTAGGAAATAATAGGGATGTGCAAAGATCAAACTCTTTTGTTTTAAGTTGAAAGCAGCTGTTACTATTTTATCAGAAACACACTAATGCCATTGTGACCACACTGTAGGTGTTCTGAGTCAAAACAGCCCTGTCTGAGCTATTTTGGATTTCAATTACTTTGAATTTGAAATCTTCTGTACAGCACTATGACAGAATATCCTGTTAAAGAAAGAAATGCCCTGTTAAGTAACAGGAGTCATCAACTAACAACCATTCATTTAGTGACCAAAGTTATAATGGCACTGGAAAAAAATTAATTATGACACATGACCACTGCAGCATCCCCACGGTTACATGATCAGACACGTGGCAACTGGCATGTATTTATGATCATGTGATCACCATGTATAACATTCCCAACTAGTTTCTGACAAGCCAAGTCAATGGAAGAAGCTGGACTCGCTTAACAACCACACAATTTGTTTAAGAACTGCAGTGATTTGCTTAATAACTGTTGCAAAAAAGATCATAAAATGGGGCACAACTGACTTAACAATGAAAACTTTGGGCTCAATTGCAGTTGTAAGTCTGCCAGACTACCTGTAATTGGACTCCCCATGGCACATCATTCGTTTACCTGGGAACCAAGCGCTGCTAGGTCTTCACACTTCCCTTTTGACAATGCTTGCTGTAGTTTCACTGGATCGTCTTGATAAAAACTTTGGATGGCATCTTGGAAATCAGGAAAGCCAACCTATCAACATGGAAGATGGAGAAAAGAAGCATTTAGTAGAGTAGAAGTTTTCTACTTGTAACTGTTGCGGTCCGCCAGCAGTCTGCGGAGCTGGCAGTGGAGTCGGACAGTGAGGAGGCTGTAGAGGAACATAGGCCAATCCTGCCTGGAGTCTGGGGAAGGCCCGGCCGAGGGCTCTGCGTCGAAGGCAGAAATGGGGCCAGGGCCATCTGGGAATGATGCGTGGACTCAGGTGCCCCCAGAGTCGGACAGAAGAGGCAGAGGAACAGGAGGAGTCTGTTCCTAGTGCACGCATGTGCAGAGCTGCCAGAGGGCAAGAGCAGCTAAAGCAAAAGGGATAACTCGGGAGTAAGGCTAGGAGATGATTGGCCCCTCCCATAAGGCTTAAAATAGAAACAGAGGCACTTGGGGCCTTTTTGCAGGAAAGCAACATTGCTAACTCTGTTTCCAGTCAGCATCTCTTGTTTATTTTTGAACTTCATGGGGCTTTGCCAAGTAAGGCCTTTGGCAGGGTGTCAAAGAAGATAAAGGTTGGTGATAATCCCGAAGGACTTCTTCCGAAGGACTTGTTTTGCAACTAATTGGGACTCAGCTGGGAATGAATGTAACTCTCAGCTGTTACAATAAAATAGGTTTGTTTGGGACTAATTGTGTATTGTAATTACTCAGTAAGTCTAGGTAACAAAAGTAACATAGAAAAAAACTAGTTACCTATGTTAGTTCTAGAATAGAATTCTTAACTGCCAAGTATGATTGGATACACAAGGAATTTGTCTCAGTGTACATACAAGCAATAAGTGATAAATCATGATCATAGTTATAAAAATACATTCCTCATAAATCATAAGATACAACACTTAGTGATAGTCATAGAATAAGCAACCAACATAAATCGTACTAGGATACTAAATAAAACAATATAAATCATAAGATTTCACATTTACAGCCATTGTAGCATCCCCATGGTCATATAATCAAAATTCAGATGCTTGGCAATTGACTCACATTTATGACGGTCGCTGTGTCCTAGGGTCACGTGATTCTTTTTTGCAACCTTCTGACAAGCAAAGCCAATAAGCAAACCAGATTTACTTAACAACAGTTTGACTCACAACTACAGTGATTCTCTTAATAACCTTAAAACGGGGGTAGTAAAATGGGGGGAAATTCACTTAGCAACAGAAATTTTGGGCTCAATTGTGGTCATAAGTCAAGGACTACCTGTACCAACGAGTTATTGCAAAGGTTAAAAAAATAAGATGATGTCTTATCTTTTTGAGAGGCACACAATAGCCATACAGATATACCTTTATACCTGAGCAATGCAGAAAGAGAGGAAAACATTTCTGAAAACACCAAGGAAGCTACAAAAGGTGAAACAAGCATACAAATTAAGCTAAAAGCAAAAGAACTAAATATCCTTCTTTAGGGCTATAACTAGACTAGTAAAAGCCTAGAGAGAGAAAAAAATCCAGTGGCTTCATTCTACCAGCCAAGCAGTCTTTCAAAAATTGATCTGATTGTTGGAATTTCAAGAAGAGCCTTGAAACAGCTATAATGAGCCTCTTCAAATGAATAGCAAGTACGACTCTCAAGTGAATACTATGCTGATTATCTCTTGTAGTATTGCACTTGTGGTGATGATGTCATTGACACCAACTGGTATAACACCCAATATGTTCTCAGCTAGGAGAACTGTAGGCTATCTACCTTTGGAGACAAGTCAGCGTAAATAAAAATAATAATATCTATGAAGAAGGATTGGTCTATAGGATGAACTGAAGCTTTGAAAGAAACCACAGATGGCCAAGAGCCTGGAGACAATGAAACTTCAAAAAAGGGTCCAAACCAAACAATGCACAGAGCAACTGGAACCGAGTTATGGGAAGAGCAGGAGATGGACTTGTGAAAAAAACAGCCAGGTGCTTTGGGCAGGAGGTGTAAATTGGCAAAGAAGAGCTCTATTTTGGAGGACAGGGGGGAAAAAAATAGAAAATTGCTAGAACTAAAAATAGACAACATTCCTGCAAAACCTTTAAAGTGGTACAGAAGAGAAATTCTGTTAGGCTCTCTTCTATTCTCACTGAATTCAGTTCAAAAATCTTGTAACAAAAGCAATGTTTCAAACACATTCAACAAAATGTGACTGAAAATTTAAGGATGTTATGTGTGAATGCAGGTAATCTATGATTCCTGATGAATTTCATCCTTCAAGAAATATGTAAAGCTAGAGGAGTGCAGCAATGAATAAACACTGCTGATTGATTGAAGAAAACCTTTGCAACTATTAGCTGAAGCATCACATCTGCTCTCTTGGCTGCCTTGGGATCAGACGCAAATACCTGGGCTTCTCCCTCAGAAATAAAATTGAGTCAGGCCTAGCTGTGAGTAGAAACTATTTATCAGGCTTTTGCTGAACAACACCTTCTTCTTGAGATGCTAACTAAAACAAACAAAGGTTATTAAAAAAAAAAACCAAGATAGAGAGAGAGCCTCTATGAACCTACCATTCCTTTCTCCTTATTGGTGCTTATGTTCTGGCCTGTGAAAACATGCACACATGCCATACTTCCTTCCAACTTGGCTGTTCTAACAGCGATTTCTTACAGCAGATGTTCTCAGTACCACAAGCGTTTTTTCTTCCCCCTCCGCTAACCCTGCTCCCACTACATACTCACCAGACTGCAGGGCTTCTGGATTGTTGCTTTTTTTAAAAAATAAAAAATCTTCAGGGAGCAAAAGAAATCCCACTCTCTCCCTTTGCAACCTCGTTTGACAGTGGCGTGGGCAGGCTCGTACCTTCTTTCTTTCCTTTCTCTCCCACCCTATCTAAGGCTGACATTAATGCTGAACTTCTCTCCTGCTCCCCCATCCCACTTTTCCATTTCCCTGTAGGGCTCTCATTCCCACTGAGCTTTTCAGGCGCTGAACTTTGCATCAGATTCCCCCCTCCACCGCAGCTAGCTTTTTCACAATGCCTTTGTACCTCTAGTCCATAGGAGGGCAACCATGTCGAAGTCCTCACCCCCTCAAAACATGCTTACACACACACACATACACCTTTCCATTTCTTCCCAGCTGCCAACGCTAAATTTGGAAAGGAAACCTCTACCCACACAGCAGATATAAAGCGGATCACAGTAACTTGGCCTTCATTGCACGGCCAATAACTCCCTCTGCTTTCTCCTCACGTCTCCACCCCAACAGCCTGCACACAGGTGAGGACATTGTGAGAAGGGTTCCCTATTCATGTGTGGCGAGAACAGGGGACACCTCCGAAAGACGAGCAGCTCCCCCCACCACCCTTGAGAAAGTAGCTGCTTGGAGGAAAAGAAACAGCTTTTGTGTGGAATGCAAGCCCCGACAGTGACTCCCACTCATTGAGTCCAACTCTCTTTCCTTGCATTCCTTCATCCACCCCCTCTGCTCCCAGGGATTGTTGTTTTACTAGATTCCCACCCCCTCTTCTCTCCCTGCCTGCCTGCCTTCCTCCTACGGCCCACCTCCTTACCCACCCTTCCACCGACCAGCGAAAAGGGAGGCATTGCAAGCAGGAAGTAGGAGAGCCTTTCAGAAGTAATTGGACGTAATTGGTGAGCTCCCACTGCATTTATTGAACCTTTGCCAGGTTTATGGCTGAAGCGAAGCATTGGGAGGTTTGCCTACACAGTTCTGTTAAGGTACCTCACTCTTGAACTCTCTCTCTCTCTCTCTGTGTAGGTTATTACAGTGAAAAATAATTTCACATTATGCTTCAGGCATTCGTTTCCAACAGGTATTAAATGCCCCGGCAAGGTCAAAATGTTTTATACCCACCAATGTGGAAATGCAGAGAACAAACTCAGAAGTGGTGAGAGCCTAGATTCTGAGTTTTCACACTCCTTACCTAAAGAAAAGATTTCCTGAAGGCAGAGAAAAATAGTTCAGCACATATCAAGCAGCTATTTACACTTCCCAGAACATAAGTGTTTAAAAAGACACCTGCCACAGAATGGTACATTTTCCCTTTGAACAGGCTGAAATGTCCAAGTTACCAGTTCTCAGTGAGAAATGTGTCCTTTTTCTTTTCTAGGTTCTCCTTAAAAACAGAAAATAAGGCCCAAACGTAAAAGATGGCTTCCAGGTCTGACACTTGGTTTTAAACACCGCTCCTCTATCAGAAGGAGGAAAATAAAAGCTAAGGTGAACGTAGACTTTAAACATCTTCATGTTAGATAGCTATGCTTAGTGTATGGAATAAATATAAAATTAGGTTTTGCCCAAAAACACTTTGTGGCTTTCAGTGCAATAAGCCTTTGATGAATATAAATGGATAATTTACCATGATGTACTATCATTTTCTCAGCAGGATTGTAAAATGAAATCAGGAAGATCTGATAACAGAAGAATGCCAATGGTTTTCTAATGTACAATTTAGAAAGGTTTAACGTGGATAACAAACGTTATGGTTTTAAACAAAGTAAGACTGAGTTTGAAATAGAATTATGTACCAATGATATTTATGTTGTTGCTAAATTGTATACTTTTTTTTGAACTATGGGACAGAAGAAGTGGTGCAACAAATGTACAATAAAATCTTTGGCTATAATGTACAAATGGATCAATAGGGAAATGTGGTTGGAAGGACTGAAATGTTGGTATTTCTCATCAGAAAATCTGTCTAGAATATATAAAAATCTTTGCTGCTGGAAATGCAAACAATATGAAAGGACATTTTACCATGTTTGGCGTACATGCAAAAAAGCTTTAAAAATGGATAGAAATACTTACATTAATCCAGACTATTTTGACGGGTAAAGTACAACTGAAAACAGAGATTTTTCTCTTGGGACTATTGTAGGAAAAAGTCAGGGAATTTTTTTTTATATATATATGATAATCATTAGCAAGACTGATGCATGCTCAAATGAAGAAAGGCTCAACAATATCCACAATGGAGAAATAATTAGTGAAGATGACAGAACTTGCAGAGATGGCTAAATTAATTTATATTTCTGTCT